ACCACTTCTATGTCAAGAGCCAATAACAGGTATAAAATACTTGAGTTCTTGTCAGCATACAATTCTAGACAAAGCAGTAGACGCCTGAACTGAAAAGCAAACGGTGCCTTTTCCAACAAAGTTTCAGAGAACTGTAGTTGCACTGGTAATCTCTTGAATAATACAAGACAATAAAACCACCACTCTAGGGAGAACACACCAGTTAAAACTCAAGAGCCGTTACAGACAGAACTGCATGCTCATTTCCTTTTTTTCGTCTTGCTTCAGCGCCTTTATGGGACTTCTGTTCATCCCACACAATCCTTCAGTTAACTAAATTTATTCATACTTATTCCAGTTCCCATGATTAAGGTGGCCAGCTAGGGTTGCCATTCCCCCAGTGGGGCCAGGGGAGCCCCTGATTTTGGGGGGCCCAATATGCCATGGCCCAGATTGGCTGCCGGGGGAAGCCCCACCCCGAAAAGCCCCCTCCCAGTGCCGCTGGCACAATGATGTCACCCAGGAGTGATGTCTTTGCATTTCCGAAATTGGGGACGATGCTCTAGGTTTTGGGCAAAACTTTATGGCCAGCAAATGAGAAGGGAGCACTCACTGGAGAAGACCCTGATGCTGGGAAAGACTGAAGGTCAAAGAAGACCAGGACGGCAAAGGATGAGATGGTTAGACAGTGTCATAGATGCAACGAACGTGAAATTAAACAAACTCCGGAGCACAATGGAAGACAGGAGGGCCTGGCGTGATGTGGTCCATGGGGTCGCGAAGAGTCGGACTTGACTGTGCAACTGAAAAACAACTATGGTTTTGAGACCCGCAAAACCATAGAGTTTTGCCCAAAACCTAGAGTGCTGCCCAAATGTTGGAAACGCAATGACGTCACTTCCAGTAAAAATCGGGAGCCCTACCAGCAGCCGGGTAAGACCTGGCAACCCTATGACCCGCTCTGGGTTGGGAAATACCTGGAGATTTGGGGGGTGGAGCTTGGGGCTTGGGGAGGGGAGGGGCATCAGCAGGGTGTAATACCATAGAGTCAACCCTCCAAAGCAGCCATTTTTCTCCAGGGGAACTGATCTCATCTGGTGATCAGTCATAATAGTGGGAGATCTCCAGACACTTTCTAGGGGCAGAATCAAGAAAAGGAACATATTCCCCTAAGGATATAAGCACAAGCACCTCGTATCATTACTCCAGTGGTTTTCATATCATTACTTTCAGTGGTTTTCATTTAGCATTGTCATGGGTACTAAAGTAGAATAGACAAATACTTTTGTCCGGGAACTTACAGGGGGGCCAACTGGACCAGCTGGACCAACTTCCCCATCTTTACCAGGAGCTCCCTAAAATGAAAGAATGAAAGAAATTTAATTTAGCAAACAGATGCGCACACAAGAGGAACATGCTGTGTTCTTTACTCGAGAAAAATAATTTTGAAGAAAACTCACTCTCTGCCCTGGGACGCCCGCGTTGCCGGCTTCTCCAGGTTTTCCGGGGTCCCCCTAGCACACAAAAAGAGTATACTATTTATCTTGAGTTACGGTGGTTATCAAGCATAGTATAGCACTTTTGAAAAACAAATAGCAATTGTTAGGCACGTTACTTACGCTACTGCCCTTTGGCCCGGGGAGACCCATACTCCCTGGCTGGCCTCTAATCCCTATGGAACCTGCTGGGCCTGGGCGGCCATCTTCTCCTGGTGCACCCTGTAAAAACGTCAAATGTTTAATGCTGAACATTACAAATATTTTGGTCTCAGTTGTGTTTCCCCCCACTTCACATTAAATCTTGTGTTGTTTATTTCAGGACTGTGCCTAACCCGTATGTCTCCCCTATGGGACCAATAAACGTTTCAAGGGGAGGTGGGATTCAGATAGGGCAAATGGTGTGGAAGAGAGTTAAGCACACCTTTCCCCGGCTCCTAAATCAGATTAGCAATCCCAGGTGGCTGCTTTAATGTTAATAACATGACGGTATGACGGTGACCCTCTCACAGACCTCACATGTCACTTCAACCTTATTGATTTAAGTAATAATAGTTAATTAATCATTATTGCATGACCTTGTGTGTAGCCAGGAGATCCTAAGATTGTCTGGCAGTCAACAGTTCTAGCTCCTTTAGTATTATGCACCACCAGGTGGTGGGCTAGACTTGTTTTAAGGCCCCTTCCAGCATGATGTTTCTGTGCTTCATCCAAAGACACAGCAAGGTACCAGAAACAGGAAGGAGCTTCCCTCAAATGGACTTGAATCAGTCCTAAAACATCAACCAATTGCAATTTAGTGAATGGCAGAGTAGCCTGGATTCCTACCATGTGTCCTACAGTTGTCCAGTGGGGCTGGGGAAATTCTTGGAGATTTGGGGAGGGAGGTGTTGGGGGAGGGGGAGAAGCTCAGCGGGGATGAGATGCCTTCAACTCCACCCTCTGCCCTTTCACCGATAGAGGGAGACAGACGAATCTCCCTGGGGAGTGAGTTCCAAAGTTTCGGTGCCATGACCGAGAAGGACCTTTCTTGGGTGTCCACTCATCTAGCCTCAGATGGCGGGGGCAACTGAAACAGGGCCTCCAGAGATGACTGTAGTGAACAGGGAGGTTCATATGGGAGGAAGCGGTTCTTACGGTATGAGAACATGACTGCTGTGGGACACGTGATGCCAAGCAGGCCCGAGGAGAATGAGCATCACCCTAAATCCCAAAACAACTTAATGCGGTATGACGGTGACCCTCTCACAGACCTCACATGTCACTTCAACCTTATTGATTTAAGTAATAATAGTTAATTAATCATTATTGCATGACCTTGTGTGTAGCCAGGAGATCCTAAGATTGTCTGGCAGTCAACAGTTCTAGCTCCTTTAGTATTATGCACCACCAGGTGGTGGGCTAGACTTGTTTTAAGGCCCCTTCCAGCATGATGTTTCTGTGCTTCATCCAAAGACACAGCAAGGTACCAGAAACAGGAAGGAGCTTCCCTCAAATGGACTTGAATCAGTCCTAAAACGTATCACTTCCACCAATTGCAATTTAGTGAATGGCAGAGTAGCCTGGATTCCTACCATGTGACCTGCAGTTGTCCAGTGGGGCTGGGGAAATTCTTGGAGATTTGGGGAGGGAGGTGTTGGGGGAGGGGGAGAAGCTCAGCGGGGATGAGATGCCTTCAAGTCCACCCTCTGCCCTTTCACCGATAGAGGGAGACAGACGAATCTCCCTGGGGAGTGAGTTCCAAAGTTTCGGTGCCACGACCGAGAAGGACCTTTCTTGGGTTGCCACTCATCTAGCCTCAGATGGTGGGGGCAACCGAAACAGGGCCTCCAAAGATGACTGGAGTGAACAGGGAGGTTCATACGGGAGAAAGCGGTTCTTACGGTATGAAAACATGACTGTTGTGGGACACGTGATGCAACTCAGGCCCGAGGAGAATTATCATCACCCTAAATCCCAAAACAACTTAATGAATAGTCATCTTAGAAACCTAGTGTTTGGAAGTTGAGGTTCCAAGATAGAGAATGTTGTCTGAAAAGTCACGTTGGTCTTCAGCAGAAGATCTACATTTGAGTCCAGCAGCACCTTAGAAGCCCCCAAATCTCGAGGGCTGCTAAAGTGCTGCAGGATTTGAATCTAGGTCATCCGAAAAGTCGAATCCATATTCTCTCACACTTTCTAAACTTACTTACCAAAGGACCCGACTTGCCTTCTGGACCTGAAACGCCTGGATTTCCTGTGAGACCCTGTAAGACATTCAGACGTTACAAAATAAGAGTAGTTTTAGCGCTTAACTGGTGCATACTGGCAAAAAGTCACATATATTCCAAAAGGTATTCAGGAGGGAGGCGTGCTGGTCAGCAGCGGAACAGCTAGATTCAAATTCAGTAACACCTTAGAGTCCAGCAAGATCTTGGGGGTATGAGCTTCTGCGGCTCAAAGCCAGGACTATTTTGGGGCAGGAACGCACAGGAACGGAGTTCCGGCTGGCTTCAGAGTTGGCCACGCCCACTGCAGCCAAAACCTCTGAGTGCGTGGCTACAGAGGGAAGGCCTGGAGAGAGACAACCCCCCAGTTACTCTGAGGCAGGGGGGCCAGGGGGCCCCTGGAAGGATCGGGGAGGAATTTAAATGCCTCCCCATGCCTACCCCGGCCTGTCCAAGGGCTGGCTTGCCCGGGTGCCCCACAGCTGCTGGGTGCCCAGGCAAGCCAAGGGAGGAGGAGGAGGAGGAGGAGGAGGAG